ATAGGGGATAGTGGGAGAGTCTAAATCGGACCGTGTTCCAAATAGGACCTTTTTAATTTAAATGAATACGGTTAAGCAGATTTGCGTATTATTTATAATGTAAAGTCCTTATAAGACACCGAACATGCGATAGCAGTTTGACAGTTCTCTGTCATAACATTCATAAAATAGAGGCAAATATGTATTTTCAGTCATCTTGCGAAAATTTGTTTTAAAAAGAAAATCCTTGTAAATCATTATTTGAAAGGTGTTAAAAATTTGAAAAGTAATTGATTTAAGAAAATTAAAGAGTGTAGAATCAAAAAGTATCAAGCATTTCGTGATCACTTTTGCGGTTTATTATAAAATTTGTTCCAAAGTTCGAAAGGAACCGTGTCCAAATCGGACAGTATAGTGAATAACTTATAGGCCTGGTTGTAGTACTGGTGATTGGCTGACCAGATCTGATCCAAGCAATTAAATCAGTAAAATATCATGAGTCATCAGACTCAGATTAGTTGAGTTTTATTGATTTCAATTCTAATAATATAAATAGTCAATAATTTCTTTTTTCGAAAAAATTTTTATCTTTGTCAAATTGCACGTTTTTACTCAATACTAAGAGAAATACATTAAAATATTTTAAAATTTTATCTAAAAATTCATAAAAATAAGTTTTTGATCTGAACCAGGGGATTGTTCGATTTGGAACCGATGGTTCCAAATCGGACTGGGAAGAACGTTTTTACATTTTCCATTATAGTTTAACACAGGTGAGAGATACGTCAAAATAATCTGAAGCAAAAATGAAAGGAATTAAATGATCTTTCCAACGGCAGCTTCGATTTTACGATCGGACTTTATTTACGCCTTATAGAGAGCAGAAATTGCAAATAGGTCCGATTTAGACCACTCTCCCCTATATATATAAAAAATTTGAAATTCTTCTGTTTTAATTTACACAAGTATATAAAAAGTTAATAAGTTACATATCGCGCTTCTTCGAATTTTTTTAAAATATTTACATATTATTTAATAAGAATATATAATCTTTAAAGTACATATTTTTAACAAGAGCATAGAAGGCCATATTAGCAAAATGCCATGCTATTGTTTAAATTTGTATGACTCAAAATATAAACAATATAATAAAATAAAATGTTAAATAGCAAAGAGCACATTCAAAAATACATATAAAAATTAAAATAGAAAGTTTACCTCCAATGACCTTGACCCTACCACACATTACAAAGGTCATCACACCGAACAACCTTCGGAAGGTTTTAGCAGTAACCCATCACGAGACGAAGTTTTCGAAAAAAGTTAATACGATCTTGACTCACAATGTCAATGTCACGACCCTGAGTGACCATCGGACACTTTCAGCAGGCGAGGGTGAAAGAGGACGAAAGGGGATGAGAGAGAACAAAAGAGAGTGAGATAGAGCGGAAAATAGAAGGTTGGTGCGGGTGGTGGGAGGGGATGGAGTGGATCGAAGGGGGGAGGTGTGAGTGAAAGGTGAGAGACAAGAGAGGTGCATGTGACTGCGGACAGAGAAGAAGAGGAAGAAGAAGAAGAAGAAGACGTTGCTTCATTTTTCATGAAAATCATCACTTTTCGACCGCTTATATGTCCAAAACGGCTTTACCGACTTTATTTTTTTTGGCGCAAATTATTCGTGGCGATGCTACCTTTCAAGATGTGTTACGTGCGATTAAAAATTTTTTATATTTTAGTAGTTCTGTACCCCCCAAAAATGGACTTTGGTGGTTCGGGATAAGAGACTTGTAGTGTCTTTCATTTTCGTTTTCATTAATCCTAAAGTAGTTAGGATAGTTGAACATGGGGTAGTCAACTAAATCTTCAGAGATGGTATTTTTCCTGACGCTTGGCTGGACTCGTTGGTCATCTTCATCCCCAAACCAGGAGGACGAGGACTTCGACCTATCTCGCTCTTGTCTTGTTTTCTCAAACTTCTTGAGAAAGTTATATACTTTCGGCTCAGATGGTTCATAGAGTTAAATAATATACTACCAAGATGCCAAGTGGATCTTAGATCAAATCATTCCTGTGCCGACAATCTTGTCACCCTAACGAACTACATTTACAGCGGTTTTATAGCTGACGAGACTACAATCTTTGCCTTTTTGGATATCATTGGCGCCTTCGACAGGATCATTCCATTTATCCTCCTGGAGGACCTAAAGGAACTCGGAGTTCCTGCGCGTACAAGGAGATTCATCGGCAATCTAATTCACGAAGGACATATTTTTATAGTGGAAAATGGATGCCTCCTTGGCTCCTTCTGGTCCTATCAAAGCATCTCTCAAGGTTCCACCTTGAGCTCTTTGCTATTTAGCTTTGTAACATCGAATTATGTGCTCAGGATGGCTCTAACATTTTATTATATGTCGACGAAATAGTCGTGTTTATCATTAACGAGAATGCCAATAAGGCCAGACTTTGCTGTATAAGCCACTTTAAATAAACTATATTCCTTCCTGCGAGCCCAGGGCCTGGACTCATCACATGAGAAGTCCAAAAGGGAAGGGTCAGTAATCAATAAGATTAGTTTTTGGGCCCATCACCGATCAGTCTCGAAGTGTGTCGTTTTATTCTTCTGTCCAAGTCTCATTACGGCCTGAAATGGTTTTTTTCAAAAATGATTTGATTCGGAGGAATAATCATTTTTATATTTACATTTTATATGAGTTTTTGTGCTTTAGAGCAAATTATGATGTATTTCATATCAGGAGACGCGGTAGTGTCTCTTACTTAATACAATACATAACCTTTGTGATGGGACATATGTTTTCTTATCGATACGCGATTGAGTCGCTGAACGTTAATGATTTTGCAGGGCGCCTGAAAGGGGCTCATTTAAGCTCGTCCTCGCTAAGATCTAAAGGGACGCCGCGAATGACGCCCGTGTGAAGAACGCGGTAAATGGAATATAGGCGCGAAGATTATGTGACGCAAGAGTGTGATTGGCGATAAAAAAGTTAATTACTGCTGCAGTTCTAATTTCAACGAGGATCTTGCCACAACCGATTCTGCGCATGCTAACTATGTCATTCTTAATAGTTCGAACGATTAATCTCTTAATCATGACTTCGTGCCTGCTAGACGAAGATTTACTACCGTTAATAGCGAAGATGTGCACCGCAAAGGGGCCGCCGTCCGAAGTGAGGTAATGATTGTTAGTCTGTAGCAGAGATTCGAGGGGAAGGGTATTTGAATGCCAGTGTCGACATTTCTACCTGTTTGGCAGATTTTTTGAGCTGGGGGGGGGGGGCATTCGCCTTCTAGTCTCGCTTCTTTTATTCGAAAACTTGCCTAAACCGTTGTCCTTCATGGAGACTTTCATCAGAACATCGTCGTCAACCGCCGTTGAATTAGTTATATTATCCGCAGGATTGATAGTTGAAGAGATTGTCAGCAAAGAATTGTCCGGTGCGGATGTGGACTAGATGTCGTTCTGATCTTGATTTTGGGTTGCTTGTTATGAGTCAGGGACGATGTTAGGTTCGGCTGCGAGCTAATGAACTTGTTAAATTCCGTAAGGGGAACCGAAATCGTTGAAGAAAAGGAAAGAGATTGATTATTGGGCGAATCGGGGAGGGGGGAGGCGAAGTGCGCCCCTCTGGATTCCCACCGACGCCGATCAGATGGTCCGGCATATCTCCGGTGGATGAACTAACTAAATAAATGAGTTGCTAGGGCTGCTTTAATGAGCGCTCGATTATAGGAGACGAAGTCAAGAAGTGACCTCGGAGAAAAGACGCTGATAAAAAGCGAAAAGCACCAACAATACACACGAACAAACGAACTACGGACAGATAACCGAAACACGTGCGCACTGCGCGGCGATCATTACGCGAACCCCAGCATCAGCTACATATACCTGGGTTTGGGAGAACGGTGCGAGAGGCAAAATATCGGGGTAATCTATTCTTCTCTGCGCGCGCATGACAGTCTTAGAACATATACTATTGGAAGAGGAATAGACAGCTGAACGTGAAGTCAACATCTGTGCGATGAAATTAGGCGCTCATTCGATGCGTTTTTTGCACGATATGAACAAATGTGGCAAAAAAAAGTGACGCTTTGCCCCGTAGACCGAGATATTCATTGCCGAAATTAAGGACTATTCAGGTTAGGAAATCTGTCACATCGATGGCATAGAGACATGAGAACATGTAAGTGAAGCTAGAATAAATATCTTCTCCTTTAATTTTATCAAAATCGATGAGGAAAGTAGAATTCTTGAGTATTACCCTTTTATATCTTATTTTATTTTTTCAGTAATATTAATGTCAATATGCGCGCGCAGAGAAGGATAGATTGCCTCGATATTTTGCCTCTTGCACTAACACATAGTTGGTTAAAATCGGTGTAGTATGCCTACTAACGTAAATTGCAACAGCAAATCAAATACAATTTGGTAAACCTTTACATTAGATCCCCTTACAGGGGACACCTCTTCGATGACCTTGACCTTGACATATGTTATACTGGTGAAGGTACCGATCAACTTTTCCTTATAAATTAATCGGCAATCTCTTATAGTTTCTAAGATATTTAGATCTTCGCCTTACTAAATGACTTCCTTCTGTCAAGGGAAGTGAAAGTCGGATGCCCCTAAACAGAGGGGTAAGTGGAGTGAAACTCGCTTCGAATGGAAGTCGCACGCCCCTAAGCAGGGGGGAGATGAGGTGGAAGTCGCTTCGCGCGGAAAGTCTTGCAATATACATAAAATAACGAAATTTTGAAAATGAGTTTTATGTAAATATATCTCGAAAGCTATAAGAGACCGCCGATTAATTTATAAGAAAAAGTTGATCAGTACCCTCATCTCTATAATATATCAAGGTTATCAAAGAGGTGTCCCTTAAAGGAATACCTACAATTCATATATAAATCTAAACTTTTCATATTTTCGCACATGAAGTGTTGCACCGTACTTTTATTTGTCTAACTTTTGTGAATATATTAAAATAATATTGTGTCTTATATCGTAGGATACTAAGGATAAGAAACAATTACAACAAAAAATTTCGAAAATAAAGCTTATCGAAGAAAAACTACGTAACGAAGCCGAAGTAAATATGTAAAGCTTTTGAAACAATCTTTATCACACATTCTACTTAATATATTTACATAATACTTCTTTTTAGAACAACAATAATTTCAATAATGTAGGACAGACATTCAGACGAGAGTTATATAAAATGATGACGATAGAAGAAGAAACTTTACGCAATTTGAACAAGGAACAAGAAAAGATAAAAGAGTACATTGTACAGTACGAGAATAAAATGCGACAATGGAATACTATCATATCGTAAGTAACATTCCATACATACGTTCAATATATAATTGGTTTATCAAATATTATACAGCTTAATAGCATGCGATATAAATCTTTAAATACAATTATGTAAATATATACAAACAGAATCGGATTTATTTATTAGTTACTCGTATATCAAGAGACACGATAGTTTCTCGTGCCAAGTGAACGTGCAGCGTGAGGAACGCGCGCGAGTACGAGACCACACTGTGTCTTTACGTGAGCCGGTGATTTGTGAACGATTCGAGTCATTGTATCTCAAAAACGGCTGAACCGATCAAGTTTTAAATAGGTTCAATCAATAGCTTCAAAATAAAAAATTAGTTATAAAAGGATATGTATACAATATTTTAAGTGGAGGTTTGTGACTTTTGTGGAAAAAACTTTTATTTCAAAAACGAATAACAGTTTTATTTTTTTTTTGGTAAATGTATACTTTGGATTACATCTCATGTAATGTCCATTAAATACCTTTAAATACGTATTATTAATACGCGATGATCACATAGTTGTAGGGGAGAGTGTCATGAGTGATTTCCCGCAAGAATTAAGTGGGGCATTTAGGAGATATACGAGGGCGGTCCGATAAGTACTTAGCCTCAACGCCCGATGGCGCCACTATCGCAAGAGAAATTTACTAACGTGTAGTACATTCTCGTAGACGGCTACTGTCAAAATTTCAGTCGAATCGGACTCGGAGTTTTGTTTTGACCGCGTGTGGAAGCGAGCGTGTCCGCGGATTTTAGAAAAATGGAAAAAGAGCAATATCGGTCGGTGATTCGATTCTTGTTTTTGGAAGGGAAATCGCGCAGCGAAATCAAAGAGCCCCATCCACCGTATTCTCCAGATTTGGCCCCGTGCGACTTCTTTTTGTTTCCAAACTTGAAAAAGTCACTCGCCGGGCAGAAATTTGAGTCGAATGAGGAGGTCATCGCCGCCACGGAGACCTACTTTGCAGACTTCGAGAAAACGTATTTTTCAGACGGGTTAAAGAAGTTGGAGCATCGCTGGGTCAAGTGTATCGAGCTAAAAGGAGACTATGTTGAGAAATAAATCGCCACTTTTCCAAAATTTTCGTTTTTCTTTTGTAGGCTAAGTACTTATCGGACCGCCCTCGTAGTAAATTAAAGTTTTATAATATGTAGAGAATGACATTGGTATAAAAGGTGAAGTTTATACACTTATATGCCGTACTAATCTCTTGAGAAGAATGTAAACAAAATCAGAAATTCACGGAAAGTCGCCGGTATTTTGTAAACAGTTAATGTAGTTCTCGCAGTTTGTTAAGGTGGTTCTATAACCCGATTATATTAGTCAAGCTGACATCTTTAATAAAAAAATTGATTATATCAGAAATAATGTAGCACAAAATTTAAAACTTGATTTTTTTTAACTCTATTTCACTCTTTAATAATTGAATTCAATAAAATTATACTATAATAATAATAAATACAGAAATACTAATTTTATCAGCGTAGAGAAGCCGAGTTTTAGATGTGGCAACGTTGCATGTTTACTCTCGATCCGCGACTTGCTCGATTAGAAGGTAAATATTTGTTATAATATTCAGTAGTAAGCATGAACGAGCAGCTGCGACATAAAGGACGCTTTATTAAAAAAAAAAATTAAATCGTAAGTTGAAACTCAAAGAAGAAATGTCGAAAAAACAAGTTGCATGGCATAACTTCGACAATAAAAGCAACGCTAACCGATGCGATAGCAATCGCATTGTCAATTTAAAATCACTTAGCAAGAATCTAAAATGCAAAAAATGTGAAAAAGTTCTATCTTTGGAAGATGTTGAGGAAGAGAAAAGAGCAGAATTACATTCTATTTTACGTGTCAAGTGTAATTGTTGCGAGACATATACTAACGTGCTGACTGGAGTTCAACATGTAATAAACGACGATGTAAAGTATCTCAAAGTAAATGTATACAACGATTTAACAACAAATGCTGTATTGGGTAATTATGAATATTATTTGTATAACTTTCCTATATTACTTATATGTTATAAGATACGTTACTTACTAGGTGTACAAATAAGTTTCCGGGTTTCACACATGGATGGCGCCAACGACACATGTAGTCGACATACATGTCTGAAGTTGTTTATTTTTTGTAGCTGCGACATCTGACGACAATAATCAATCAAAATATTTCCAGTTTCGCGACGAAAAAAAATTTTTATGCAACAGTGAAAATGTCGGGTTTTGTGCCAAAAAAACAGCATTCGCGGGAAGTCTTGCTTTTCTGCTTTCACTTGGTCAAAAATGCAGCTGAAGCACGTCGTTTGCTTGAGGAGGCTTACGGCGAACATGCACCATCGAAAACAACCTGTGAAGATTGGTTTAAACGCTTTAGAAGTGGCGAAGTGGTGGTTTCGACACTGCGGACAAAGAGAGCTCCGGAAGACGGCGCGGCCGAATCGTTTCGGAAAGAAAACAATGCTCTGCGTTTGGTGGGACCAGAAAGGAGTGGTTTACTATGAGCTGTTGAAACTAGGCGAAATTGTCAACGGAGAACGCTACCGACAACAACTAATCAATTTAAGCCATGCATTGCTCGAGAACCGGCCAGAATGGGACACAAGACATGAGCGAGTGATTTTGCAGCAGGACAATGCACCGTGCCATCGCACTTCCATCGTCAAGGAACAAAAAAACCCGGAAACTTATTTGTACACCTAGTATGTTATGAAGTGAGATATAAACTGAAGTAAATTGAGTATACAGTGGATTTTTTACACAGTTTATTTTGTAAAATGATTGCTTTGAACGTTGTTTCAGGTACTTTGCATGCTGGTATTAGTTGTACGCAACTGAATAAAATTTTAATGTGTTTAGAGATTCCACTTATTTCACAGAAAATGTACAAAGAACATGAGCAAGAAGTTGGATCAATAATTGAGGTAGCAGCAAAAGAGAGCTGTAAACGAGCTACTTCAGAAGAAAAACAACTAGTGTTACAAAAAATAGAGGAACTGCGTGAAGTATTGTAAGATCATAGACTTTTTGTTTTGTAATGGGTTTATTTCGGATTCATGAATCTAAATACATTGTACACAAAAAGTTTTATTGTTGCAAACGATTAATTTCTTTTTATTGATTTTTTTATAAAAAAAATATATTTAATGCTTTAAATTAAGAAGCGCCATAACAGTCAGAACGTTAAGATGTTGAACTATTGTAAATTCATTTAAATGAATTAATTTCAGAAATTATAATTGCGTGCCGATATGGTTGTCGGACTTTCAACG